CCGTCACGGTACCGTAACCCAAGGCGGCGCCCAGTTGATTGTAACTCCGCAGTGGACGTACGTATAACACCGAACTTTACGCCGGTACCACTATGGGAATTGTGCGGAAATGCTTAATACACTGCAGTGTTCGACGATGGACGGAAATTTCATGCACATTTCACTTATGAATTTTTCGTCTCGACATAGAGGCTCTGATGTTTGGCATTGCGCAGCGTAAGGGAATTCATAACGCTCACAACGCTTCTTTCTAGTTTTCTATTTACATTTGGAGAATAATTACATGAATATAAAGAGCCGAATTACTTTTAACTTACTCCAGACCAGAGAATTGTTTCACAAGTGCTTTCCCCAACCTATTCCATGAAATTTAACTGCACGCGTAGTGATTGCAGAAGCGAAAGACGCCACTATTACAACTAGACGTAAAAAGTAGCGATCTGATCACTGACGTGACATTTTTCGTGACGGTACCATTTGGCGTCAGTTTGGTGCAGCTACAGTTCGGACTCACCAGGAAAGGTCAACAGGTCAGCCTGGCCATTTGCAATGAGATGCACATCATTGTACTCGTCTTGAGACGGTGAACTCAAAACAGTCTTCAAAATTTGCAGAACGATCCTCTGAGCGAAGTTATGGAGGTTTTTTTACTGTTTTCTTCTTCCGGGCGCGTTTGCGCCGAAGTGATGGCACCTGTAGCGGGACTCACAGAGCTTTCCGCACAAAATAGGTGTCATATTCGTCAGGAGGTTAAATAACCCATAGAGACGGCAGCTTGGCGAAATCTGAGGTTCTGACTCAGCTTCGAAAAAATGGGGTATGGATAGTCATGGCTGACTGATTGCCACCAGCGATACTACGACTAGCATACTGATGATGACTGATTTCCAAGCTGAAAACAGCCTCTTTAAAGTCATGTCTTTTCAGCACCTGGCCCACTGATTCGTGCAGTTTGCATCATTTTCCTGATTATCGGTAGGAAATCCATCTCGAGACCAGTCACTGATGGAGGGTGAACCCACCCTACGGCCAATTACCCATAGCATAGCCCACATTTTCCAAGTTAGGTCGAAAATACTCAGATCCGCCTAGTAAACTTCCACCAGGGTATTTGACCCGCTTTAACATGAATACTCATGGTATTCTCACTGCGAAGACCTCTTGGCGACATGTGTTTTACGAGGGGACAAAGCACAACATCTTTCTAGGCCACAAATGGTCTACACTTTCAAAAAACTGATTGCAGGCAGGATAGGGCACGCGTGCAGAGATGTTAGAAGCTTTGTCAACCGTGTTCTTGGACAAATGCAAAAAATGCAAATAGGCACAGCTTGCGGGGAAAACTCGATCACGACGTCCCTGGACTATGTGAAACCTCCATTCGGTAATCCATGGGCTCTACTGCCACTGTTGGAAAGACTCCATTCATTAATGTGAAGACGCTCATACGTTTCGTCGCGATAACATGTAAAACAACCACGAGGAGAGAAATCCCTCCATAACTCCACTCAGAGGATCGTTCTGCAAATTTTGAAGACTGTTTTGAATTCACCGTCTCAAGACGAGTACAACGGTGTGCATCTTATCGGAAATGGCCAGGCTGACCTGTTGACCTTTCCTGGTCAGTTCTGGTGCAACTAGGAGAAAAAATTTCCCAGTTCGAAAAGTCGTAGTTGTGAACGCGACCAACTACATGCAATACCACCTATTCTACCTTTCGAGGCGATGAGGCTAATAAGTCGACCGTAGTAAATTATTGTATACTACAGCGAACTTGGGAAGCCGTCTCTATCCAACACTGGTTAGCATCAAACGTGCAGCACCATCAAAGTGCTTGAAGCAAGGGTAATAGAAGGATAGATCCGGCATCCTCACATCGAAGTCCTCACAACGACATCCGAAACACACATCCGTTTTCTTCCACCCAGAAAAAGGAAATAACGGCGTAGTTTCAGCGTCCGTGCTGAAGTTTTTAGCGCGCCTACGACAGACTTCCAATTTAAAGGGCGCCGCTTTGGGTTACGGTACCGTGGCGGTAATACTGAAGTTAGCTTCTTGTATCACAAAGCAGTTGAGGCATATATGTCACGCTAGCAATGATAAAGTCACAAACGAGAGGACATGAGGGGATGTAGATTAGTGTGCAGCCAACATGGCCATTTAACCGAGTGGTGCACTTTGAGCCCCAAGGAACCGGTGGAAAAGGCTGCTCCAGCTAAACTCCAATCCACACTTTACACGCCACCCTTTCGCAGGGATCAGAATTGTAAATACACCGCTGAAATGTTCGGCGAACTCTTGTGGGCTGCCAGTAGTAATGAAAAAAGTTTGGCCTATGACTGGGAAGGAGTATCCTCATGGTAGAGTATCACTGGTATCGCTGAACTCAAAAATGTGATTCTTGAAAAGGGGCTGGGATCCTCATCATTCTTCTTGTGGTACTCAGTAGCATCAGTTCCGTTCTATTAACTCTCCCTCTTTTTACAAGTGTTTATTCCAATTTGTCATTTACGTGGTCTCAACCTCACCTTGGATCGATGTCATCCCGTTTCACGAAAGCAACTCCCACATTTGTACCCAAGAAGGAAGGACGCTCGATGTATCTGGAATAGAATCATAGTTAACGTCTGTATATTTGTGTTATTGAAGAGTCACAGTGACCTGAAATGCATTCGCGATCCAGGGTGGAAGCCGAATGCCTGGTGCGCTCAGATGGGACTGTCATTTCCGGGCTCACTTTCCTTGGATCCTTTAACTTGTTTGCTAATGTGAGCCATGGAATAGGAAACTGTTTAGAACTGTCGCAAGTAATTGCTCTCTGTGTAAGTGTGACACTTGCGAAACTACTTCGAACTGGGAGAAAACGTTTGAGTAGCTGAAAACCCGGAATTTAGGACGGAATGAAGGCGTGTCTTTTCTCCCTGTTGGTGTACGGTCGTCATTTTGCTGGATGAAAGGAAGACGACCTTCTCTACAACTTCTTGGCAGCATTACTAGTATTCTGGAACGTGCCGTTCGCTCATTAATGTCGGGCAAGCAAGTGTTTTCTGTTGTCAAATGTAGGATATCTCGAAAAGGCGGTCAACCCCCACAGTCACTTTACCGCTTCCTGTCCCGAATTTCAGCAGCGTAAACTACAAAGCATTGAACTCTTATTTTCTAAGTGTGGATTGGCTCACCTTGTTTGACAACTTCACATCAGCTAGCGATGTCTACAAAAGATTTTGTAAGCAACTATACATGGCCTTCTCTCATTTTGTTGAGTTCAAAGCTCCTCAAATGACTCGAACAGTATATTACATATAAGGAACTTAGCCGCTCAGAAAGAAAGATTATTTCTCTCTCTTAACCGTCCATTGGAAGATAACCTCTACAGAAAGGTGTGTCGGGACCTTGACGGCCATGTAAAGAAGCTTCTCGCCAATCGTGAACATCGTCTTACGAGAGGGTCTAATTTGAAAACGGCTTTTCCACTATATTAGACAGAAATCAAGAGATAATTCAGGGTTACCTACTTTGCTTGATACCTCGGGCAAGAAATACATTTCAGATATGCAGAAAGCCAGAATATTAGGCGAATATTTTGCTTCCGTATTCTCCAGCACTGGCTCTGAGCAAAACGTACCAGATGTTAGGGGCATTCCACACATAGAGAGCAGACTTTCGGGGATCTTCTTTCACCCAGAAGATGTCCGGAAGATGCTGGAACGCATTAAACCTTCCACGTCAGAAACATACGATGGGATCCCCCAGATAGTCTATAAAAAATGTGCTTCATCCTTATGCCTGCCATTAACACATATTTTCAACATTTCTATGATTCTTGGTGAGGTACCGGATCTGTGGAAAGAAGCCTTGGTCACTGCCATACCTAAATCTCCTAAGGCTGCAAACATCTCCGATGTTTCAACCGATAAGCATTACGCCTGCCCACAGTAAGCTAATGGAGAGACTGATCCGAGACAAGATACAGGGTTGGCTTGAGAAGTTCAACATGATTCCAAAAGAACAACATGGTTTCTTGAGTGGGGCTCCCACGGTTTCCAATTTATAATTACTTTTGACTGGGCAGTCCGCTTCTGAACAGTGGCAAAATCTTGTAGAAGTCTTAGTTGACCTGTCCGAAGCATTTGATAAGGTCTGCCACCGTAGATTGCTAATCAAATTACAGCATCTGGGGATTTCTGGGCAGCTTCTAGATTGGCTGAGATCTTTTCTAAATCAACGATACATGACCGTCAAGGTTCGTCACAGCTTCTCTGACAGACACCACTGTCAAAGTGGTGTCCCTCAAGGGAAGCGTTTTATCACCGTTTTTCTAGCTATACTTCTGGACTCCTTTGCTTAACATACTCATTTCGCCCGAGTGAAGTTCAGATGTATGCTGATGACATAAAAAATATATGCTGGCAGTACGATACTTACTAAAACGATGTGAGTTTCAAGCACAGCATTTAGGCTATCCAGGAATAATTTCGGAGTGGCCGCACTCTTGGGGCTTGAACGATCAACTTAAACAGAGTGTTCCCTTTCCTTCTGGCACTTGGGGTATGCGTTTCAACAAACCCAAGATATGGAATCAATGAGACATTCCTGGAAGGCTGCAGTAAGCTCAAAGATCTTGGAGTCGTGTTATAAGATGACTTAAAATTTTCCTTACAGATTGAGCAGGTGGTTGAGAAAAGCATTCGCTGCGCTTTTCCTAATTTTCGGAAACATTCAACTTAAAGAACCCAAAACGCTGGTCCGACTGTATAATGCATACGTATTGCCACACGTAAACTACTGCTCTCAAATTTGGAATCCCTTCCTGAAGAGAGATATAGCCAAGGTGGAAAAGGTACAGCAGACTTTCACAATTAGACTGGTGTACCTTAGAGTGCACCCGTAAAAACAAGCGAATAGCGTGCCAAAGTATGAGGAGGGCCTAATATGGTTAGGACTGTTGAGCCTTGAAGACAGAAAGTTAGTCAAAGCCCACACTTTGTTTCGCATCCTCAGAAGTGAAACGAGGCTGAAACCTAGCAAATACTGGGTTTTTAGACCCTGTAGTGAGAGAACAGGGAGCTTTGGCTTGAGCTATGTAAAAATTCAAAAAAGATTCTATTCACTTATGTTTAACTCCTATTTCTGTCGTATGGCCAGGATGCTGGACAAGCTGCCACCCGAGTTGCTCAGATCTGGAAACGGTAAGGTGTTTAAGAACAGATTGAGGAAGATCTGTACTACGGACTCGCTTCACTCCTTATTCTGAAATAGGACCAATTCAGATGGCAAAAGGATGGGATGTTCTTTCGGGTGAGGTCAACGGCGATCTGTCGGTGCAAAAAAGCAGTTTCTGTTGCGACGTTCCATATCTACTGCTTTTATGTTGTTAACTCAGTTGTTGATCAGTTTTTGTAGAGCTATCGGCGCATTTTTTTCTTATTGTTGTCATTTGTCTTACGCACGACAGTACTGTTACGCAATATGGTGGCGTGCCGGCTTCGATTCATAGGGTGTTCGCCGCGATTACGTCCCACATTTGTTTTCTTTTTCCCGTATGCTTGTGCTCGATATTTTTTTTCGAGGCAGGCAAGCCCTTGTAAATCTTCCTATTTCCGCTTCTATCCACCATGTCAGTTCCACGAGGGTCGTTGGTATACCCGTGTGCCGGAGTGCTGGCATGTTCCCTATGGAGGGCGCCATAGCCAACTGGTGTGGATGGTTGCTCAATTCTTGTGAAGTCTTGCTTGCTTGCGCTGCTATGTTTTGAAACAAGCTACGGGTAGGGACTCTATCTCATTATTAACCCTTTGCTCCCTATGAACCTGGCCTACATCATCTCGGCTTTTATCGTTTATCGTTGAGTAATTGGTTTGTTCTTGCACACTCATAGTGTATATTAAATAAATAAATAAATAAAACCATCGACATTTTTTCGACGGAAAACATCAATGTCAACGTTAGGTTTTGTGAACGGCAAAGGGAGCAAGAGCGCGCCGCACGTATTCATTGCTGATCGCTGATCTACGGTTTTCCGTGTCCGTCACATCTAATAAAAATTCATTGAAAAACAGATGTCAAGGATAGGCTCGAATGTAAAAAAAAATGTCTTACCGAGGACGGTTGAACGATCTCATCACAACGCCATTTCTTTTACCAAACGCTGTTGAGAACAACCTGAGACAAAAACATCGCATGAGAATATTTTCTATACTTTTTATTCTCTACGGAAAAGAAATTTTTAAAGTTAACTGTGAAGCTAAAAAAATGAAATGTTCTGCAAACAGTAGAGAAACAACTTCAAAATTACCGAGTTCTATAGGAACGTTTCCTATGAGAGGTCTTCGAAATGACGCCTCAGCGGTAAAGGCTCTGAGGTACAAAATCAACTTCAGATTGGACGTGTCATATCAGAGACCAACAGGGGCATGTCAGCATTGACGGCGTCTTCCCGTTATCGCCGTTACGGGACTCCATGGAACAGTGGACTCTTCTCTCATATTCATACGTCTATGCTTTTCATGTGCCTTACCATCACGCTCTCGCAGTTATGACCCCTTGTTGCTATGGTGGTGTCGTTGTTGTTATGGTGTGGCGTTGCTATTGTTATTGTTGATGTAGCTGTTGGTGTAAGATTTCTTGAATTTTATCGATTTTTTTTCGAAATTCTTTCAGAACTTCTCGAAATATTCATAGGTGAACGATGGAACTTACCAGGGAAGGTCAACAGTTCAGTCCAGGCCATTTGCAATATGATGCACACCGAAGTACACGTCTTGGGACGCTGAGCTCAAATTTTTCGTTGAAATTTGCTGAGCGACTATCGGAACAGAGTTATGGAGGGTTTTCAATCTGCCTTGTTGTTTCACATGTTATCTCATGGAATTGCGGAAGCGTCTTTAAATAAGTGAGGGGAAGATGAGGAAACGTGGCAGTGGAGCGCAACAGGAAGTGGTCGAGTGTTGTAAGGATGAAGTAAGGGGACAGTCCCCATGTGCTCACGAATTTTTGGATTTTCAGGAACATGGCCAACAAACCACTGAACATCCCTGCTCGCCCGTTCTCGCCTGTAAGGGGGCCAGTCATCAGCTTCATAACTGTGTAGTGTAGACTGCCTCGTGGACTCAAAGGGTGCTTGTGCTTGTCCCCCTCGTAACACATGTCACAAGGGTTTTTGCACTTAACTAGTGCGATATTCATGCTTCAGCGGGTCGAATTACCCCTGTATATTTCCAGTCAAATTTGAGACATTGATCCATTTTCAAAACGTGAGGTATCCTATGAAGTACGTGCAAACAGACTGGATCTCATCTATCACCGATGACCATCCTTATTTGGGTGGAATTTGCCCCCTGCCCCTCTCACTTAATCAGGAAAATAATGAATAAATCAACATGTGAGCCAAATACTGTTCTCTGCGAAAATGCATGGCCAACGAGTTAATTTAGCTCGAATACCAGTCAGCGGTGATAGTTTAGACTTACTGTCAATATTCAATCATGACTAATAGTAAGCTAACCACACTTTTTCGGAGTTGAGTAAAAATCTCAGATTTCGCTAGAGTGCCCTCCCCAAGGGTTAATTGACTTCGTGAACACGAATATCACACCAGCTTCGCGCGGAAGTGGTTGCCTCGCTCTACAGCCCCGGCCGCTTGGGAACCAGCGCGTCTTCAAGAGAAAAGAGAGAAAAAACCCTCTATAACTACTTTCAGAGAATCGTTCAGCAAATTCCAAAGGTAGATTTGAGTTCACCGTGTCAAAGGGCGCACAACGGTGTGCATCCCATTGCGATGGCCGGACTGACCTGTTGACCTTCCTTGATTAGTACAGTCTTTCTGGACCTCAGATGGACTGAGTAAGGACTTTTAAACAAATGTATGCTGGTTGTTAATCCCACAGCTAATTCCTGCTCCCTACGCCCAATAAGTTGATGGAAACTGTTTCCGGTTATAGTAATAATAATATGGAAGAGTAGCTACTGTGTTACTAATTAAGCGCTAATTACATATTTAGCTTCTCACCTGGGATCATCAAGGTCTAAAGTCCTCTTGTCGTAGTGTGAAGTGAAGTATCTGAAAGGAGACCAATGTGAAAACATCTCATTTCCAAAAAATAATCAAAATATGGGGACGAAGGAGTCATGCAACATCTTTGCAAGTCCCTCTGTTGCAATGGACTTTCACGGAACTCACTAAAAGAGAGCAATACAATCTGCTCAAGTGAAGGCGTTGGTGGCCAAATTTGAGTAGTTTTTCACGAGTTTGACCCTGATCGTGACTACTTGCATAATCAGTTACAGTATGAGAACCTATAATCATTACACCACTTGACTAAGCAATCCTCAGTCAGGGGGGAAACGCATTTGAGCTGCTCTGAAGGTCGAATCTGTGAAGTCAAAAGCCTTCAATAATTTGGAGTGAGGGGGGGGGGGGGGCGGAATATTGAGAAGAGTAGGGATTGCTATAAGATCCTCATTTGTGTGTTTATCCACTCCTCCGCTCGAGGAGTGGTAATTGGAGATAAGGGCACGTAAAATCAGCCATTGTGTCGAATTTGAGGCTGCGGTTCTAGAGGCCATGCTAGAGTTGTTTCCTCTTGGCTGTAGCACGCCCTATAGAACTATAATTAGGTGAGTATTATTAGGTTGTTGCATAAGTTCTTATACACGACTTTTTTGTAAATATCTCAAAAACGAACCAGCCTGGAGATTAGAGGTATGCACCATCACCATTCACTACTCGACGCCAGCGCTCAGGCAGCTTGTCGATTCCATCCTTCCAGAACGACGGAGGCTGGGACTTGAAGAAGTCGTCGAGCGCCTTTCTGACCTGATCCTTTGTTTCGAACTTTTTTCCGTCCAGATAGCGCGTAGTCAGAAGGAGCGAGGTCAGGGCTGTAGGGAGGGTGGGCGACCATCAGCCATCCGTACTTCTCCAGCTCGGCCTGGGTCGCCTTTGCAGTGTGAGGTCGGGCGTTGTCATGGTGGAAGTAGATTTCCGCATTCCTTCCACGAGTACGGTCGACGTGATCTTTCAATTTCCGCAGCTGGGTCACGTATGTGGAAGCGTCAATCGTCTGTCCCTTCTCCAGCACTCCATGCCTCTTCTGGACCACCAACAGGACAGGAGAACCTTTTTGGGGTGAAGGTCGGCCTTTGGGGTGGCTTCTGGCTGTTCTCCTTTGTCGACCCACTGCCGCTTCCTCACAGGGTTATCGTAGAGGACCCACTTCTCATCTCCAGTGATCATCGAGTTGAGAAAGTGAAGCCTCTTTTGGAAAGTGAGGAGAGAAGTGCAGGTGGTCACCCTCCTCGAGAGGTCATAAGCGGACAGTTCATGTGGGACCCATCGACCAAGCTTTG